TGCCAGTCTAGCGTTGGAGAGAAAACACAATGAAACAACAACAACAAAGCTTTCTGATTGTAAGACCAGGGAGACCAGAACCAAGGGTATCCCTTTCAGAAAGTTTTAACCACATTTCTATTAAGCATATTTCTTAGTGAATTTGGCACCGTTTGCAAAAAAGACATCAGAAGGAAATTGAAAGACTTTTGTAGACCTTCTGAATTCTAGAACTCTACAATTCACGGCCATAAGATTCTTCTAACTGGAAGAAAGGTGTAAGTGAAAGGTCATCATTGGCCTAAAGACTTTAGTCCTCGGATCAAAAATGCTTCTCAGTGTGGAAAATAGCCGATGAACAATTATCTAGTCACATTATAAATGACAGGGCTTCTCCTACAACTGGCTGTGGCTTACTAATGTCTGGGTGATGGAGTAAATCCAAATGGCTGTGGTTTGCAGGAGGGAAAATGTGCAGTAATCGATCAGTCAGATCGTGCTCCATCTCTCAGCCCATTTTGAGTCAGACTTTGTGAATTATGGAACTGCATTCATTCATTCAACAGAAAGCATTCCATTCACAAATAGTCCAGCCGAACTGACAATTGATGCATTGAGTTCTTTTGCTGAAGGGCTGTTGGGTTTCCAGAGTAACAGCCTCATCTTTGACTGCCCTTTTCTCTCTATTCACCTTCACCAGTTTTGTTCATAAGTTACCTAACTTCTAGCAACTCCTGGTGGGGAGACCAGCACCGTCCATTCTCCCATGGCCAGGAGCATCAGATGACACTGTTTGTCCCCTAAAGTGGGCAGTCACAAAGGAGTGTGCACTGCTGGTTTTCCTACGTACATGACTGAATTTCCCTTTGTTGCCAAGAAGGAGGAGACACGCACACCATCTGACCCTGTGACCAAAGTCATCCCTAGCTGAGAACCATTGACCTAAGGAGAGTTGTTAGGAGAGATTTCATTTCTTCTTTTTTGGTCATTCATTCTCTTTTTCCCATTTACATTTTTCAACAATGATAGAAGACATATAACCTGGAGTAGGCCTTAGAGATCAGTAGTGAACAAAAATAAAATTTCTGGCCACAAGTGACTTATAATCTAGCATAAGTGTGGGAAGGAGACAGATAGACACATAAACGAATATGTCAGAGGATCCACGATGGGGACAAACTAAGAAGAAAACAAAACAAGGTAGTGAGCTAGAGAGTGCCTGGGTTGGCTGGACAAGGAAGTGTCAAGTGTGGGACCACAGAGTCTAAGGGCTGGACCTGGCATTTGGCTGGATCTTGAATCTGACAGAGATCATCATGATGCTGGCCGTTCAGGGGTGTTGAGAAGGAAAGAGACGCGACCAAGGCCAAGGTTTTAGAAGTTTCCTCTGACTGTGGTCTGTATGTAGGCTATTTGGAAAAGAGCAAAGCCATAGAAACCAATAAATTGATTAGGAGGTTGCTGCAATTATCAAGAAAAAAGATAATAAAACCCTGAGCTAGGTGGTGAAATTGGGAATGGAAAGGAGGGATGGCAAATGAGGAATTTATAGCAGAACCTTCTCGATTTTTAGATTTAATAGATGATTAAAAAATAAAGCCTTGCATGACTTTGCCACACTAGGATGTTAAACAAATTAAACACTACTATCAATTTTACTTTATGAAAACAGGACTCTTTTAACACATGAAGAGCATAATCTCAGAACAAAGGGGCAGTCCTCTGGGTTGATGATTTTTAATTTTGTGTATAATCTTTTAATTTTGTGGACGGCTGTATTTTTCTCATTGCATCACAGACCAGAAACCACTATATGCTTGTTCTAAGAACCCACCCATAACGTGTTCATTCTGGGCTTAGCTGAAAACGTGATGAGCTATGAGGCTGGAAGAAAAAAATAATGTAAAAGATCACTGCAAATTTTTGTAGTTGGGTAAACAGTATTTGAGGGAATCCATAGCAAAAAATAGAAGAGAGGAGGTAGGTTTGAATCAAAGGCAGTGTCTGGATTGCAATCTGATCAATTTGAGATGTTGGAGGCACATCCCTGGTAAGATATTTGGTGAATTGTCGTAGGCACGGTATTGAGGTTAAGGTTAAGAGTTAGGACCACAAATACAGATTTTGGGATTGTTAACATGAAAATAATTGAAGCCATTAGGCACAGTCTCCAAGGGAGAAAGGAGGAAGGACAGTGGATAAACGCAGCACTCTGGAGAAATTTAACAGGCAGAAATTAGCCAGAACTCAAAGGATAGAGGAACCCAAAATAGTCAAGAGGATTAACAAAGCAGAACAGCAGGCGTCAAAGAGTGAACTGGTTGTAAGGAAACTGGGGCCACAACAATAGACTTCATCTTCCTGCGTGTAAAAGGAAGGACTGCAGATAGTTCATGTGTTAGTAAGATACAGTTTTTGGAATGATGGAGACCTGGACATATTTATAGAGGGGGAGAAATGTATGATCCATGAGGAAAAAGTAATTGATGCAATAAAATGCCAAGGGAACCTTGGTGGGGATGTGGAGGGATAAAGTTTGAAGATAAAAGAAATCATCCTATTCCTTAGGAAAGGAGGGAGGATTTCATGGGTGAAGGCACTGAGATATCAAACAACTAGAAGGGTACAGTCACAAATAAAGAGAAAAGGTGCCAAAGAAGCCCTCATAGATGACTCCAGTCATAAGCTGTGAGAGGTGAGGAAGGACTAGAATTTGTTATAGCCCCTGTAGAAGTCTGGTAAGGAGCTAACAAGATAACAGCTAAAAAAGCAGAACTAAGGAATGAGGAGGCTGCTGGCTTGAGTTAGTGTGTGTTTATTATGGGTCAAACCAGCTCCATGTTATGAACTTTTTGAGCTACTCTTGGCTGCTGGAGAGTAGAAAAAGAGAGAGCAGAGTCAGAAATTAGCACTAGAAGTAAGAGGGAAGATAAGGATAGGAGGGGTCTAGAGTTCCAGGAGGAGAAGTACTAGCAGGTCCATATCAGCATCAGAAGCAGACAGGACGACTGGGAATTCGGGGTGTGTTGAGGGACCACAGGTCACAGTGAGAGGGGTTTCAGTGTGGAGCCTTGCTGTAGCTTCACTGTAGTCAGGAGGGAGAGGCGTGGGGTTAAGATGAATTTCACAGACGTGTTTTGCTCATTAACCATGTGCCTGACCATGACGGTTGATAAGACTGGCAAGGTCCCTGCCCTCATGGAATTATATTCTAATAATGGGAGCAGAAGGCAGGGAGAAACAGACAATAAACAAAAAAAAAGGAGAACGTATCAGGTGGTGATGATGATTGACATAGAAAGACATGACGGCAAGTCATCACCACACATTGAGTGGGGAAGGAAGGTCTCTGATTAAAGAACATTTAAGCCAAGATCTGAATGACTAGGTAGAGGTGGACGTGGGACAAGTGGTCCCATGGTTATGGGGAATCAAAGGAAGAGAGGCATCAAGGGTGACTCCTAGATGTTTGTTCAAGCAACAGGTGGTCCTTTTTACTGAGGTGGGGAAAACTATAGAGGAGCAGGTGTTGAAGGGGGTGAGGACTGGCAGAAAATCAAGAATTCTCTTTTGCCACCTGGAGTTTAAGATGTCCAGGGGTGGCCGTGAAAGTGGAGAAGTTCTAAGCATGAAGAGAGCATCAGGGAAGGCCAAAGAGGTTGTGAAGATCAAAGAGTACTCAGAATGAAGCTCCTCAGGTTGTAATGTGGGTCATAAATATCCTCCTTGTTCAGGATCCTTGAGGTTATTTCAGAGGAGGGCAGGATTTTGGTTGAGGAAGAAGAACTTGAAGAAGGAACTGAAATGATAAGGAATATGAGCAAATTTTCTTTTTATTTATTTATTTATTTTTAAAACAGCAGGTTCTTATTAGTTATCCATTTTATACATATTAGTGTATATATGTCAATCCCAATCTCCCAATTCTTCACACCACTCCCCCTCCCTGCCACTTTCCCCCCTTGGCGTCCATACGTTTGTTCTCTATATCTGTGGGCAAGTTTTCTTGACGGAGTCCTAAAGACTAGTGGATGGTGGAGATGATGGGGAAATATATCTGAAAAGCAGTTGAAAATGGTAATTGATGGAGACTATGTATATTCTTGATAATGATTACAATAATATTTTAGCAATTGAGCAAAGATGCTCTTTAGCATAGACTGCATTAAAGAATAATAAAAATGTAGGAAGTGAGCAACCCTGCAATATATAACAGTATTATTGTCTCAATAAGCATAGCGATCTCTTGAGACAGAGTATTAAGAGACATATCCAGATTATATTAGCAATAATAATAGCAGTGAGGGATCTCAGAAGATCCAATCCAACTTTGAGCATTTCTTACAAGTTCGACCTAAGATTTCTTCTTTTCTGCATCTACTTGTGTGTGTGTGTGTGCATCTGTGTGTGTGTGTTTGTGTTTGTGTGTGTGTGTTCTCAGCACGGTTTTTGACTATTTCTCTAAGCAAACATGTGATTCTAATGAAATTTGCTGAATTTCAAGCAGCCACACGTGTATGAAAGCTGCCCAAGTTGGATATTTGTGGAATGCTGATTTTCCATACATATCAACATTTGGTAATTATCATCAGAACTATTCATACAAGTTTAAAAGTGGAAATAAAATTAAGAGAGATTCAACAGGGACCTCAGATGACCTACTGGGTAACCCTTAGAGGTAATCAGTCCTTTCAGTGAGGCCTATGTGACTAAGCACTCTTCCTAACTCAGCTTCTCCTGGAAATCTTAACAGAAACACCTGCTATTTCTTCTTTAAACCTCCACACGCTGGGTGGACTAGCGAACTACAAGCACATTATAATAAGTATGCCTCAAAATTGTCATAAGTCGGTGTATGTATCCTTTCCTAATTTCATAAGTTTCCCAAGGCCTGCTCCTTCCTGTTTTGTTTTTTTGTCAATCTCTCTCAAAAGCTCAGCATATAGGTTTTAAATGATAGCACCACTGGTGAAGTGCATTGGTTATTGATCGCTGCATAACAAAGCACTCCCAAACCTAGCTGCTGCAAACAACAAACATTTATTTTCTGTGGGTTTCTGTGGGTCAGGAATCTGGAAGTGTCTTAGCTACAGGGTCTGTTAGAAGGCTGCAGTCAAGATGTTGGCAGGGCCTGCAGGCATCTCAGGGTTCAACTCCAAGAGGACCCAATTCCAGGATTTCATGCATGGCTGTTGGTAGCCCCTAGTTCCTTGCCATGTGTGCCTGTCCACAGGACTGCCTTTCCACAGTAGCTGGTTTCTCTCAGAGTGAAATGATTCTGGAGAGATGAGAGGGAGAACCTGAGATGGAAGCCAAGTCCTGCTTATAACCCAAGCTTGGAAGTGAAGTCCTGACATGGCCACGGTTTTCTGTTCATTAAAAGCAAAGTTTGATATTGACATGTGCACACTACTATATTTAAAACAGATAACCAATAAGGACCTACTGTATAGGACAGGGAACTGCATTCAATATTCTTTAATAACCTAAATGGGAAATAAATTGAAAATGAATGGATACTTGTATGGGTATAACTGAATCATTTTGCTGTACACCTGTAACTAACACATCACTGTTAATCAGCTATACTCCAATATATATATATTTTTTAAGCAAGTTAGTAACTGCAGCCAACACTGAAGGAAAGGATGTTGATATTAAAAGGTCGGGGCCATTGGAGACCATCTTGCAGACTGCCAACCACACACCATGAGTTGTATTGCTTCACATGGCACATGGGGAAACTGATACTCTGTGAGGATTTTGATTTGTCCAAATCCATTCCTCTCACAAATGGAGCAAAAATGAATATAAAAATTTGCAAAAGACATCGGATAAAGGACTGTTACCCAAAATATACAAAGATCTCTTAAAACTCAATAATAAGAACAAAAAAATACTATTAAAAAGTGAGCCAAAGACCTTAACAGACACCTCAAAGAAGATATACAGATGACAAATGGCATATGAAGAGATTCTCCACATCAGGGAAATGCAAATTAAAACAACCTACCTAAATAGGTACCTACCACTACATACCTATTAGAATGGTCAAAATCCAGATCACTGACAACATCAGTTGCCGGCAAGGGTGTGGAGCAACAGGAGCTCCCATTCATTGCTGGTGGGCATATAGACTGGTACAACCACTTGGGAAACAGCTTGTCAGTTTCATACAAAACCAAACACACTCTTACTACAGAATCCAGCAATCATGCTCCTTGGTACTTACCCAAAGGAGCTAAAAACTTAGCTCCACTGAACAACCAGCAAGCTACAGTGCTGTACACCCTATGCCAAACAACTAGCAAGACAGGAACACAGCCCCACCCATTAGCAGAGAGGCTGCCTAAGATCATAATAAGGTCACAGGCACCCCAAAACACACATCTGGATGCAGTCCTGCACACCAGAAAGACAAGATGCAGACTCATCCACCAGAACAAAGGCACCAGTCCCCTCCACCAGGAAGCCTACACAACCCACTGAACCAACCTTAGCCACTGGGAGCAGACACCAAAAACAATGGGAATTACGAACCTGCAGCCTGCATAAGGGAGACCCCAAACTCAGTAAGTTAAGCAAAATGAGAAGACAGAGAAACATACGGCAGATGAAGGAGCAAGGTAAAAACCCATCAGACCAAACAGATGAAGAGGAAATAGGCAGTCTACCTGAAAAAGAATTCAGAGTAATGATAGTAAAGATGATCCAAAATCTTGGAAATAGAATGGAGAAAATACAAGAAACATTTAACAAGGACCTAGAAGAACTAAAGAGCAAACAAACAATGATGAACAACACAATAAATGAAATTAAAAATTCTCTAGAAGGAAACAATAGCAGAATAACTGAGGCAGAAGAATGGATAAGTGACCTGGAAGATAAAATAATGGAAATAACTACCACAGAGCAGAATAAAGAAAAAAGAATGAAAAGAATTGAAAACAGTCTCAGAGACCACTGGGACAACATTAAATGCACCAACATTTGAATTATAGGGGTCCCAGAAGAAGAAGAGAAAAAGAAAGGGACTGAGAAAATATTTGAAGAGACTATAGTTGAAAACTTCCCTAATATGGGAAAGGAAATAGTCAATGAAGTCCAGGAAGTGCAGAGTCCCATACAGGATAAATCTAAGGAGAAACACACCAAGACACATATTAATCAAGCTATCAAAAATTAAATACAAAGAAAAAATATTTAAAGCAGCAAGGGAAAAACAAATAACATACAAGGGACTCCCCATAATGTTAACAGCTGATCTTTCATCAGAAATTCTGCAAGCTAGAAGGGAGTGGCAGGACATATTTAAAGTGATGAAAGGGAAAAACCTAAAACCATGATTACTCAGCAAGGACCTCATTCAGATTCAACAGAGAAATTAAAACGTTTACAGACAAGCAAAAGCTAAGAGAATTCTGCACCACCAAACCAGCTTTACAACAAATGCTAAAGGAACTTCTCCAGGCAGAAAACACAAGAGAAGGGAGAGACCTACAATAACAAACCCAAAACGATTAAGAAAATGGTAACAGGAACATACATATCGATAACTACCTTAAATGTAAATGGATTAAATGCTCCAACCAAAAGACATAGACTGGCTGAATGGATACAAAAACGAGATCTGTATATATGCTGTCTACAAGAGACCCACTTCAGACCTAGGGACACATACAGACTGAAAGTTAGGGGATGGAAAAAGATATTCCATGCAAATGGAAATCAAAAGAAAGCTGGAGTAGCAATTCTTATATCAGGCAAAATAGACTTTAAAATAAAGACTATTACAAGAGACAAATGATCAAGGAATCAATCCAAATATGAAAAATCATGTATAACATAATATAATATAAAACACAATTTGAAAGGAAACTTTGACTCTCATTAATGCACAAAATTCATAAAGGAATATTACACACAAGAGAAATAATAAATAAGTTTATAGACAATTTTTGCCTCCATGAAACTAAATAAATACACATATCATCTTGGAGTTCCATTGTATATCTATTAAAATTTCCATGCAATTAAATCAGAATAATAATTCACAGTGCTGTCAAGATGATGATAAAATAGTGCTGATTTCAAAATGAGTCATTATCACTTTACAGTGTAATTTTGTAGCATATGTCTATGTTCATACAGCGTTTATAAGTATTGATCTCTTGAACCCATTTTGGGGAAGGGGTTCAAATCAACTCTTCTAAGAAATTGAGAAAAGCTATATATATTAAATCATCATTTCAGAATGATTTATAAAGTCAAAAAGTGTTTAATAATAAATGAATGACTAAATTGTACACATGTATATGATAGAATATTATATATTCATTTAAATTTATCCTTGTGAAACCTAAGAAAAATTTTAAAAACACACAATATTGATATAATGGGAAATTAAAGAAATACTCTTAAAAATGTAGGCTTACTATCTGCAAATGCAAAAAAAGTATATCTTTGTGTAGGTGAGAATTGGGAAGCAATGAACAAAAGTGAAGGTACTTATTTTGTTAGGATAATAGGCTCATTAGTGTGTGGTATTTTTCTCTTTTAAAGTGTTTTTAATACCGTAGATATTTACAGTCCTTATGAGGGAACAGGAACTCATGTGTAGCTTTTGTGTTGTGAGATTGATGTTAACTCTATTTTTGCAGAATTCCATTTTTTTTTCTTTTGAAAATAGAGTAAATCTGTATCACTAACCTTTCATGAACTTTCTAATTTTTTGTAGCTTTTACAAGATTACAGATTGCATTTTGACAATCACACCTCCAAAAGCTTCCTGTTTTCTGGGAAGAAATTATTCTAGGCATGAATACTAAACATGGCTACAGGTTCCTCAATCCTTTTCTCTTTAATTTAAATTTCTTATCCCTTTTGCTGATTTTTAAAGTATCTTTTTCGGTTCAAGCACCATTTTTCCGGAAGCAAAATGTTATTTATGTAGTTTTGCCTTTTCTCCACCATCTGATAACATTATATCATTACTCCCAACTAGTTACCTTCTACATTCATCTTCCTGTTCCAAATATAGCTTGAAAGGCCCTTTTGGTTTCCTTTGGCCTTAACCTTCCTGATTCTATTGTTATCAGTCTCTGGTCTCTGACGTGCTGCCGTCCATGGTTTTGCATTCCTCTGTTTCATTGTTGGCGTGCATACTTTTAAAACTTTGCTCAATGTTATGTGGCAGCCTGGATGGGAGGGGAGTTTGGGGGAGAATGGACACGTATACGTATGGCTGAGTCCCTTTGCTGTGCACCTGAAATTATCATAACATTGTTAATTGTCTCTACTCCAATATAAAATAAAAAGTTAAAAATAATAATAATAAAATGTAAATTTCTTTTAAAGTGATGTGTACAGGCATGTTGAGTTTGTTCGGTATCTTTCCTCTTGTTAATTATCCCTAGATGGTTTCAGTAAAGGGAGCTTCCTAATATTCGTGACCTGTTTGTTTTTTTTTAATAAAATTTCAAGCAGTGATATCAGATCTGATTGCTAAAGTTTTTGGAAGGAGATCCAGTAGAGAAAGAAGAGAATGGGAAATATGACTACCTTTAATTCAAAACAGTTTCCTTAAAGACATGCTAGTGAGCACTAAAAAAAATATGGCTTTATTTGTATAATAACAATAATTGAAAGAACAAAGACTTTTCTTACCAACTATTTTTTTACTACTCTGGGACAGAGCATTGCACGGTGCACACATAGGTGATAGAAAACATTGCAGAGGAATAATGCCACCACAGAATTCTGTGACCTTTTCTCAGGTCACTTGTTTCTAATTGCATTCTGACTCCTAAATCGTTTTCTAATGCAGGGAAACCTGTTTATTTTGTGGATGCTTGTCAACTTCTTCTCTAGCATGTGTCCACGAATCAGGCTGATTAAAAGCAAAATAATGATACAGTGACTATTCTTTTATTTAGAAGTACTTGGTATTCTAAACAAAATAAAGCTTTTGTTACTGGGAATGTCCATTGTCTCAGGCTATTCAAAGAGCAACGGATGAATAAGTTGGTTGTTGTTTTTTTTTTCCAACATCTTTGTCTTCCTTCAATAAGAGCTCAGTTTAAAACAGTAGACTTGTTTAGGTATGACAAATTTATTCTAATTTTGATGTTTAGAGAGCTTACTCTTAAGGAATATTTTCCAACATTTTCTGCTTCTAATATAAATTCACTGAATTAGTACATGTAATAAAGTGCATTTCTGAATATGAAACATTATTTTCGGAGGATTTCATGATAAGGTTGATCACTCTATAGGGCATTGAATCTGTCATAACATCCAAAATTTAAATGTCACCTGAGTTCAACATAAAACCTTAAGTAGAATTTAGTGGGTTAGTGCTATATCTTCTAATGAAAAAGTAGTGACTCATGAAATAATTTCCACCCCTCTGCCAAGATTCCAGCCTAAATTCAGTTTCTTTGGTAATCAGATACATTATCTCCCTCCTTTTAAGCTTGTATAAAAGGTGTGAGTATCTGCGTTACGCTGTGTTACTAATTCAGAGAGCATTGAGATGTTTTATGTGAAAGTACAAGTCAATGGACGTCATAGCCAAAGAGTTAATGGATGATAGGTTGGCATTCTAAGGGTTAAACACAGATACACATAGACATACACCTGAAAGAAGAATATGTTGAATACAAGCACACAAACAGGAATATACATATTGAATATACACACATATATATCTATGGATAGTTATATAGCTATAACTATAAAAATATTAAATATAAATATTAATATAAACTTTTAATGTAAGGTCTGAACATCCTAGTGCTTAGATGATTCTTTTCATCCTTCTTAAAGCAACTGAGGAACAGTCATCTCTAAGAATGTGTAAACCACCTGAGAATATTAATAGGCACTGCTTTTCATGGTGGTCCAAGGAAGAAAGGGGTAAAAATCCTTTGCTCTTTACCAAATTGTTACCCAGATTTTAGGTGTCACTGAGAAACATTCAGTAACCACCTCCTTTCTCCTATAACCCAAAGGAGGGAGGAGAACTGAGTGAGGAGCCTCATGCTTGTCAAAAGAAACAAGGAATAGAAGGAGGGAGGGAGGAGAAAACTGAGCTCACCTCTCCCCAGGGGCTGTCGGAGGCTTTACTGAGTGAGGAAGGCTTACGAAGGCTGCTGAAATACAGAGAGAAAAAAGGCAATCAGAGAACAGGAGCCGACCCCTTCACTCGCCTAGCTCAGTGCACATCAAATAACCTTCCTGTTGCAGTGTTGAATGATCTATTTATGGTCATATTGGCAACAAGCTGGCCCCATAATGAATCATCAGGCTGACTCAAGGGGGTGATCCCCGATGTGTGGCAACTGTTGCTTCTAGATGATGGATTTTTCCTATAACATTTCTTAATCTGTTGAATGCTCCTAACCTCCAAAGCTAGGTTAATGCCACGTGATGCAGAGCTGACAATGCCTCAGTTTTGTATTTCTTCTTCAAATGTCTACTGTTAATTTTTAGTCATTATTTTGCTTTGAGACATGTAGAGTTCTTAAATAGATGCATACTGTCTTATTGGAAAATGAGGCTTCAAGAGCTGTTTACTTCAATTCAATCTTTTTAGAGATGAAGGGACCCTGTCCCAATCTGGCAAGCAACTTATCAAGACCTGGTTTAGCAGATCTGAAAAATAATTATATTGCATTTATATTGCAGATAAGCTGCAAGGTAATTGACTGTGTCTAACTGAGTATGACAGCTTAACAGCAAGAAGGGTAGAAAGTAGCAGGGTAGGTTTCACTATAGACCTAGATACCATGCCCAGGAGACCAGACCTGAGTGTGGTACCACTTCTAGGGCATTTGGGACAGCCAACCAAAAGCATGTGTAATCATCGTGAACCAAGTTTTCATAAAATAGGAAGGAACATAAAACACCTCCACATATTTTAAATAATAAAATAATTAAATCCCAGAAAAATAATGTCTTGCTTATGATCACTCAGTTTGACAAGGCCAGGACTAGAACTTAATTCTGCTGACACTCAGTCCAGATTTCTCTGTACAATGCCTCACTGCCTCCCTTCTCTCTATGGGATGCCCAGTGATCTAAATTTTATTCTGTGTATCTCAGAAACACTGTTGACAGTGAACAATAACCAGAGTCATTATTTCCCTCTTTTGTCAAAATTCAAAGACCAACAGAGAATTGTACAACCATCATGGTGTTCTTTATGCCTCTAGTCAACTTAAATCAGCTTAGAAACCAGAGTGACCTAGACAGGGGAAGGGAGCAGTGGAAAGTCCGTCTGTAGTGTCAGTTTAGTAGATAAAGATTTATGTTGAGTTTGAGCTGAGTTCATTCACATAGACTGGAAACTTTTCTGTTTGGACATGATGCTTTGATTCTTTTTTTGGGGAAAGGGGCATTTTTGGGGTGGCTGAAGAGCTGATTTGCGCATGTTATTTAAGATGCCTAAACGTTATTTCGTTTGAATGAGAAAGGATAAACGGATGATATTAAAGTGCAAATATCTTGTTCTTGCATTTCCTATTGCTGGCACCAAAGCCAGTATTCACTACCCTTGGGGCATATATTCCATAATGAAAGATGTTATCATTTAAACCCAAATCACTGGGTTCTCATTTCCTGGGTATCTTACAGATTCTGTGAGAGTTACTGAGAGACAAGGGATCCTCTTGAAGTCTGTCACTTTGCAGAATGCTAAGAATGCCTTCTCATAACTTTACAGTCTGATATTGCTACAGCTATCATAACAACTATTAGAAAAACTACAAAAATGAGACAATAAGAACCTGTTCTTAATTGTACTAAGTATTATTTTTTTTAATTATAAAAGTGGTAAGTCAATTGTAGGAAGAAAAAACCCTACAACTAACAGAACAGAGGGTATAAAATGAAAAAGCAGTTCTATCTACACTCTCCCTAAACCCAATTTTATATATAAATGAGATTATACCATATATGTATTTCCACTTGCTTCCTCCCCCTGCCACACACACTTTTTAACACATTCTCATCATTTTTCTATTTCAGTACATTTAGGTCTATCTTAATGCTAACAGCTCAATAGTTTCATTGTATATTTGTATCATAAATTTAATAACATATTTAGCCAGCTCCCTATTGCTGAAATCTGTTTTTCCCCCAGTTTATCTCAATTACCAAAAATACTTAGTGAAGGTCCTTCCAGGGACCTTCAGTGATTAAAGTAGGTATAGAGTAATTCCAAATAAAAAAAAATAAAATAAATTAATAAAATAAAAAAATTAAATTAAAAAAAAGAAAAGGCAGAAAGCAACAATGACCAAATGCAAGGATCTTCTCAACTCATTTCTGGTGACAATTGGAATAGAAATATAAGTCTGAAGAACATTTAAGTGAATTGTTCCAAAACAAACATTATCAGATTTGAAAATGAAATAAATTTTGTAGATGAGAGAGAATTCAGATAGCTCTCTTCCCTACTAGAAAACTAAAACAATTTCAACACAGAAGAACAACAAAAATAATAAATTGCTAAGCAACAGAGATCCTGTTTACATGCAAATATTGATAGTAATAACAAAAAAGAAACTGCATGAATAACACAGGAAATATGATCTGAAAGCAAGATTGCCTATAATAAAATATTTGGCCTTTGTTTTGGTCTAGTTTGGTTTTCCACAACAAGTCAACACCTATTTATGTTGACACCATCTGAATTAGTCTGCCCCAAAGCCAACCTGACATTTAGCAATCTGCCATCTGTCTAAAAAGGAAGTTTATCTTGACAAAGACAAAGACCAAAAAGGTGTTTTTGTGTCAGCTTATCTTTACAAAGGACCTTAACAAGAAGGCCAGCTTTGTGGTACTTCAGACATTTCTTATTAACTCTCAAAATCTAAGGAACATTGGAGCATTAAATGTTTCGCCTGTGATATTGGTCCTTTAAGCTATATTGTTTTACTTTTTTATTAGGATGGACTTTTTACCTTCCAGGGGAATGCACAGAGGCTAAGTCACTTATCCTAAATAAATTTATGTGTTAATTTCGGAATAGACTTACTCTGCTGATCTAAGACAACTACTTAGGGCTCTAGTATTTAGGATGCTGCTGTTACTGATAAAAAAAAATTACAGGAACATTTATGCATCATAACATCCATTCATGTACCAGTGTGAAACCTTGAGGTTAGCTGGCCCTGACTCAATTCACACCTGAATTTTTTTTTATCTTTAACAGTATTTCTGTTCTCCACCCACCACTACACTGAAAACTTCTTGAAGGAAAAGAAGACAAACTTTACAAAATTATTTTAATCCATATATTGCCATGCTTTGCAAATTATTGGTATAAATGTTTGTTGACTAAATCCTCAGATTATTGACTAACCTTCTAGTGCACTGAATACATTGTGTCTCATTCATAGGTATATCCATATATCTATGGGTCCACTTATTCAAGGTTTTTTTGTTTGTTTGTTTGTTTGTTTGTTTCAATAGCAAACACTACAGTGCTACACAATCCATGGTTGGTTGAATCTGTGGATGTGAAACCACAGGTATAGGGGAACCAGGGATACGGAGGAATCTGGCATACGGAGGGCTGACTATAAGTTATACAGGATTTTCAACAGCTGGAAGTTGGCTGCCTCTAACTCCTGCATTGTTCAAGGGTCAACTGTATAAATACTTTATTTTCTATACTTGATTATTTTAAGAGTAGTTTTCAGTTCACAGGAAAATTGAGAGGAAGGCATAGAGATTTCCCTGTCCCCACTCATGCAGAGCCTCACCCTTTATCAACCTCTCCCACCAGAATGATTCATCAGTTACAGTTGATACACTTACGTAGACACATCATAATTACCCAAATTCCACAACTTACATTCCAGTTTTCTCCTGGTGTTATACATTTTATAGGTTTGGGGAGGTGTATAATGACATGTCCTTCTTTGTGGTATTTCCACTACCCTAAAACTCCTCTGTGCTCTGAGTGTTTATCCCTCCACCTACCCCCAAGCCCTGACAACCACTGATCTTTTTATTGTCTCCATCATTTTGCCTTTCCCAGAATGTCATATAGTTGGAATCATACGGTATGTAGCCTTCTCAGATTGGCTTCTTTCCGTTAGTGATATGCATTTAAGGTTCTTCCATGTCTCTTCATGGCTTGATAGCTCATTTCTTTCTAGTGATGAATAATATTTTATTGTCTGGAAGTATCAGTTTATTTATCCACTTATCTACTAAAGAACATCTTGGATGCTTCCAGGTTTTGGCAATTATGAATAAAGATGTTGTAAACATCCATGTGCAGGATTTTGTAAGGCATAAGTTTTCAACTCTTTTGGATAAATACCAAGCAGTGTGATTGCTGGATCATATGGTAAGTATATGTTTAGTTTTATAAGAAACCTCCAAAATGTTCTCCAAAGTAGCCGTGCCATTTTGCATCCCCACCAGCCATGAATGAGAGTTCCTGCTGCTCCACATCCTTGACAGCATTTGGTATTGTCAGTGTTTTGGATTTTGGTCAATCTAATAGCTGTGTAATCATATCTCATTGTTGTTTTAATTTTGCATTTCTCTGATGACATATGGTGTGGAGTATCTTTCTATATACTTATTTGCCATCTGTATATCTTCTTTGATGAGGTATCTTTTACAGTGTTTAGCCCATTAAAATCTTTTTTTCTTATTATTGAGCTTTAAAAGATCTTTGTATATTTTGGATAGCAGTCTTTTAACAGATGTGCATACCTAGAGTCTTAAATGGGCTCCTTCATTTTTTTTTAAATTATAACTTTATAAAATTTTCCACATGGTCAATCCAACCTGAAAAGGTTACAGCTTCAATTTCCCTCCTGAAGATCCTCCTTATAGAAATCACAGTCCTCTGGTTTTAACTTAGACTGGCCTTTTTTAAAGGCCTATTGCACAGCTCCTATCCTGGTACTTTACGTAGATATAATTTTTACCAATTTTAGACTCTCTCTTACTGCTCATCTATGATGGATGAACACCTTTATTCACTTTCTTCATATGGTCTCTTATTTTGATGGGTCATATTTTCATCAACTTTTCCAGAAAAGCAAGAATGGGAATTAGGCTTTTGCTTTAAAATTTTTTAGTTTGTTTTTAGACTTTCTTTTTTTTTTAATATGTGAAAACATTGCTCTTATGCTCTCAGATGTGTTAGGGTAGTGATTATAAAATTTTAGCCTAAAAAT